CCACACACATACACTTTTAAAAAAAAAAATTTTACACAAAAAAAAAAAAAAAAAAAAAAAAAAAAATATATATATTTTTTAAAAAACAACACACTTTTTAAAAATTTTAAAAATAAATTTATTAAAAAATAATAATATTAAAAATTTAAAAAATTTTATAAATTATATATAAAATAAAAAATTTTTCTATATATATTTTAATTTTAATAAATATATAAAAATTTTCTATATATATATATATATTAATTTATATATATATAAAAAATTTTATATATTAAAAATTTTTTATATATATCTTTTTTTAAAAAATTGTCTAGGTTTTTGGGGTTTTATATATTGATCAAATTTCTACTTTTTTAAATTTTAAAAAACTTCAGGACTACAAAAAACTTCCTTTGGTCTTTTCAAACCCCAAAATGGAAAAAATATAAATTTTCAAAAAATTTTGCACATTGGAAATTAAAAATGGGGAAAATAATCTTGTTTGTTTTGTGGGTTTTTTAAAAATAGGATGGGTTTACTATATTTTTTTAATAAAAAAAAACTTCCCTTTTTTTTTTTTTTTTGGGTAGTGTTTTTTTTTGCACCGTTTCTTTTTTTTTAAAATTCAGAATTTTAAAATTCCATTTAAAACAATTGTTTAAAAAAAATTTATTTAATCGGGGATCATAACATTTAAAAAAAATTTTTTTTAAGGTTTTACCAAAAAAAAAAAAAAAAATTTTAAACATCGTGTCCGCAACCAAAAAATAATTAGCCTTGATTGTAAATTTTTAAAATGGGTAAATTTTTTTCTTTTGGAAAGATAATAAATCTAAAAAAAAGTCCAACTAAAATAATAACCGAAACTGCTTTAAAAAATGGTGTCCCATTTTTTTTATTTTAAAAAAATATAAATTTAAAATTATTATTACAAAAACTATAAATAATAAATTTTAAAAAAAATAATTAAATTTTTATCAACTTAAAAAAAATTTTTAATTTTATTTTTTCACTTTATTTTATTTATAAACCCCTTTTTTTTAAAAATTATATATATATATATAAAAAATATATATATATATATATATAAAAAAAATATATAATTTTTAATTTTAAAAATTTGGGTTTAAAAATATAACCAATTAAACAATTTTTATATATAACCAAAACAAAAAATTTTTATAATTTTTTTTTTCCCAAAAATTTTAAAAATTTTTTTTTTTTTAATGTTAAAATTGTTTTTTTTTGTTCATTAAATGATTTCTAACCTTAATTTTTTTTTTTTGCAGTTTTCATGGAACTTTTTCCCATTTTTAGAGTTTTCTTAAACAAGTTCTTTTGCTTGTTAGGGGGGTTTTTAATAAACCCATTATCATAATTTTTTTTTAAAATCGTTACTATTATTTATATTAATTTTAATTTTTTTCTTAATTTATTTTTACTCCCTTTTTTAGTGGCTACTTTTTTTTAAATAAAATACTTTTTTTTATTTTAAATCATTATCCCTTCAGCCCCACACATTTGGGGGAGAAAGAAATTTCCATTTAATCCAACATGCTTTAGACCACTCAATCAAGACAATATCACAGGTTCTGTTTACCCTTTCAAGCATAGTGGAACAAATGCTGGTTTCTCCTACAAAGGGGCAGCAGGTTTGAACCCTGCCAGAGAGTATATTTTCTTTAAATTTTCTCAAGTGCACAGGCCAGTAGACATAATACTGTTTAAAATAAAAACAAGTCATCTAGTTCAAAAACAGGTATCCATTAAAAATAATTTTAAATAATAAAAAATGTTAGATTAAAAAATCCACTAATTTATATATATATATATATATATATATATATATATATATATATATATATATATATAAAATCACAAAATTTAAATTTGTTCTGTGCTAAAATACATGACAATGCTTAAATAATAAAAGGCTACATTCAATCTATAATTGTTCAACTTTATATATATATATATATATATATATATATATACACACACACACACACACACACACACAAGCATGGTGAAAAGTTAGCATTAGATCAGTATTATTTTACTATTTTGTTTTTTTTACATGCAAGTACAAAACTATTTTGAATTTTTTATAAATCCATCTATATTACTTAAAATTACGGAAACATTTTTTCAAAGAATTTGATGCAATGTTCACATAATTTGCACCATTTTGCCACATCTCTCAAAAATAAAACTTGAATTTTATTTTAATTAAAAAAAAAAAAAAAAAATTAAATTAAACTTAAGTGTTTTTATTTTTAAAATCATATCTACAAGATTTTTTTCCATATGTTATAGACAAAATAAATTATATCAGACTAAATTAAACTTATAATGAAAGTAATGTAAATAATGAACAATGTTTTATATACCTAAAATTATCTGTCACAAATATTTTAAGTATCATTTGTTTAAAATTTAGCCTAAGATAATACAAATGTGCTAGATATTTTATAATAGTACCAGGTGTAATTTGCTATAAAAGGTATTTTGTATTTATTGAAATATAATTCAAAATGTTATTTTTGGAGTTTTATACTTTAAATAGTTATGAATTTGTTTACTGCTATCACTTTCATAATATGTAAGTACATCTTTCTTCTGCTTAAATTTATAAAGAATTTATGAAATGTCTAAGTTTGAAATTTGCAATATTTTATGGCAATCATTTGCAATAGCAAGAATGGAGTAAAATCAATGCTTATATTTTAATTTAAACAAAAGTACAAGAGCATTTAAGAATTTTCTATGGAAGAAGATTTATTAAATCTTCTATTTCTTAACACTTCTTTGAAAGTACCTGCAGAAAAAGGTCTTAAAACAAAGAAAGAGAAATGTATGTATTCTCCATCTTAGTAAATCACTTGATACATTCATCTGGTACATTTGAACACATTAATAGCCATGTGTATGCATGCAGTCTTCAATATTTTATCTGTAAAATAGATGAGAAATTTATATTCATTCATATTCTCAGTCAACTTTTTTTAAAAATTCATATATGACTTGTTTTTAAATGTAATCTTAAAAGTTGAAAATTCTTAATTATAAATGTATGAATGTTTCAAAAACAAATTTATTTGAACAATTACAATTAACAGTTGTTTCATTTCCTCTTTAAGGTTAAGCATTAATAAGATCAGTACCAACTTTAAAATTCAGTGAAATCTGTTCTCTAACATAGGATTTTAAGCAGATTTTTATGCTAATCTGCGTTTAACATTATCATCAAACTGAATGATGCAAGCATGGATAAGCATACAGAGTATTTCTAAGTGAACTAGTTTCCACATCATGCCTACATGTATTCAAATGAAAACAATAAGTTATTAAATGACATTAAATATAATACTTTAATTATATAAACTTTACAGAACATCAGAAACTATCCTCATTCCTAAAATGTTGCCAATTATTTCTTAAGATGGCTTGTAAAAATAAAGACAATTTGTTTTTGTTAATATTTCCTTTTTTAATGTGTTCTGCAAAAGATGTGTTGTAATATCTTCCTTTAGATTTCATATATTCTATGATCTAAGATTAAACTGATTTTTATTAATATCAGGGGAAATAATGTCAGTCTTTTTCTCTCTACTATGAAGATAAATGTTAATGTCTTTAGAGCAACAAATACTAGTTATATGAACAATAACATTCACAATAGCTTTCAGAGAGAAATTTTAAAATGATGAGGAAAAATAAGCAGATTTTACAAAAGTCTGGTGTTTTTCACCACTATTTGGTTAACAGTGATTTAGAGAGACAGCTAGGAAGAAATTAAGAAGTTTCCAAGAACCAAAACTCACAAAAAAGGCCCCCGGGTTCCACTGTCAACTGGCTCCATGTCCAGGATTCTGGGTAATTCCAACTGTCTGCAATGGTTTACATTTATAAGAGTGAAAATGGCATTAATGGCCAACTGCCCTTTAACATGACAATCAAAATCTGTTGTCTTTCAGACTACATGCTTCCATTGTCCTTATTTGCAAATTATTTGGGAAAACTTTTATAAAAATATTTTTAAATGCAGTCAAAAAATTACTCCAAGTATAGTTTTCTTCCTCGGATTTGAAATTAAATAAGTGTAAGCTATCTGTTTAGATTATATCTCTACTACAGTTCTCTCAATACTAGAGAAAAAAGTACTGGGTAAGCTCATAAAAAATATTTTAGAGAGTAAGTAGGAAGCATTAAAAGGGTTAATGTCAGTTAATAATTTGTTTGATCATAGGAGATATGAGCAGTAAATATAATGAAAGTTTGCTGTAAAAAGATACAATGAGATCTTGAAATTTACAGAAAATTTTCATTATAAGATATTTAACATTTACAAATTAAAACTAAACCATCAAAAATGGTCCTAGAATGTCATTTAATTCAATAGGGGAAATAACCTATTTTAAGAAGTATTTTATACAGTTGATATAATTAAATAAGAAAAAAAAATTCCAAAAACATACAATTGAAATTCAGAATTAGCAATTTTTTTTTTTCACATGCAAAAAACCGAAAAAAAATAACTCAGCAATAATAATAATAAAAAAAAAATGCATATGGTATAATTCAAAAGCAATTTCTGTTAGGAAAGTTAAAGAAAAACCTAATAAAGAAAAAAATTTTCTGACATTTGAAAGAGGTTTGTAAAATTTCCACTCACATTTGTGAAGTATGGTCTTCTGTTTCTCCAGTGGCACCAACAGTGACCATGCTAAAGTAAGAGTCTTTTCTCTCAATAGTGTCAGTACTTCCACTGCTGAGGCTAGAACTGGATCCAGATGCTGATCCAGGAGTAATGCTGGTTGCTGTTGGTTTTACTGGAGTTGATGCACTTTGGACTTCCAATTCTGATAACTTTTTTATTTGGTGCATTACGCCTAAAAAAAAAAAAAAAAAAAAAAAAAAAAGAAAAGAAAAAGGAAAAATATCACTGCATCAACCTAAAACCTAAGGTAAAAAGTAAAAGATAATATTTAATCCAAACTTACACAGGAAATATAGCTAACATCCTTGATCCAACAATTTTTTTTTAAAGGTTATGAAACCAAAAGACATTTTGATGTTTGTATATTTAAAAAAAAAAAAAAAAAAAGTTCATGAATATGTGACAATTGCATATAAATCTTTAGTAGTATTTTATCTATATTCTAATCAAGAGCATAGAAATTATTTCTGCAATAGTTTATGAAGTACCTAAGGATAGCTTCATGCTTAACATACTTACATAAGATACACTTTTGTTCAAAATACAGCGAATTAAAAGAAAAAGAAAAAAGAAAGAAACAAAAAAAAAAAGAGATTTACTATGTTTTCTATTCTCAAAAATGTGTGAGTGTGTGAAAACAGATGAAAAATATCCTTAATACAAACCTTCTCTTCTAAAGTAAATGCTAAAAACATCCGGAAGTTTTTGCATAAGAACTTCTGCCATTTGAATGGCACCTACCACTACTTTTAGATCTTGTGAAGCCATCATGGCAGCTATGTGACTGAAAGACAATCGAAAAAATAAACATTAATGTCTGATTTTCATTATTTACTACAAGTATATTGAATTATTTGGTTTAAAAATATTAGTGACTGATTGTAACTGAAAGTGTGGAGTGGGACACGCATAAATAAAATCATAATACTTATTTCCTGAAGCTACATCTAAATATTACCTTCCAAAGAAATTAATGTTAATATTATTAAAATAAAACATTTCAGTATGACAAATTATTTATATCCAGGGTCTTAAACATGGAGCTCATAAACTATCTTTCTGTGGCCAGCAGGGAGCTATTTTTGTAGACTGAATAATTTCCTCAAATTTTAATAAACTTATTCTATTCCATACTTTTGCAGTGGCACTATTGAACTTGACCTAGAGACCAAGTGCAAACAGTCAATTTTATGGTCTATTCCAGTTCATCTCCAATGAAGGGGAGAAAACTGAACCTCCCAACCACTACTTATGAAAGAGTACAAATGTATTTCACAACAATGACTGTTTATTTTTTGTTTTAATTTTTATAAGTAAATTTGACAAATCATTAGGGAAAGTGGAAAAAACATCTAATTTTTATATACATTTAAAAGAAAGAAAAAAAAAAAAAGAGAAAGAGAGAGAAGTGAAATGATCTAATTTGTATTGAGAACTTCTTGGAGGTGAAGGAAATGAGTGAGATGCAATACAACTCAAACACAAGGAAAAGGAAAGTTTGTTTTTATTTTCATAAGGTGAGACAGGATAAATTTGACTAGCGATATTGATGTGGGGGTGTAATTGAGATGATAGACTACACACAAAACAGAAAATGAGGGTTTTTTTTCATAGCAAGAGAAGGAATAAATTTGATAATGTTCAAGTGGAGGGGGTACATGAAATAACAGATAACCAGTATACACAACAGAAAATGGATTTTTCCTTTTTTTTTTCTCATCATAATAGGAATTGATTGTATTTCATACTGAGGCGGAGGGAGTACATGAGATAAAAGACAACTAACAGAAAATCATGATAGAAACAGTTTTGATGGAATATTGCTAAATAAACTGAAATTTCAAGGAAGAAAAACTTGTTTTTAGTCAACTACATTAATTGAAACAAAATGTTAATATCAAAGAAAGAGAAAATTGCTGAAAAGAACAGAACTTTTCAAGAAAAGTGAGAATATTTCTATTTTGTGTCTGAGATAAATAATTTGCCAACTATCCCACATTTCGAGAATTTATGATTCTTTTTAAACATCACATGTAAATTTTGCTTTACTAAAAATATACTTAATAAACACAAACAACTGAAATATGCATGAAATGTTGTGTACCCACCTGTCACATTTTCTATCACACAAAATTACCAAACTGATTTAATTCAGCTTTGTGGGAACCAACTTACAGGGTCTGCAGCCCCATGCACATAATTGGCCCTTTTGTATCCTGATTTATATAGTAAGCTCTGCTGTAAAGATAAATTATCCAATAACATACCTGGATACTGGCTGATTCTTCAATACTTCTTTGAGAAGGGATGCACTTGCATAATATATCATTCTTAGTAATGTTTGAAGGCATTTATGTCGCACTGTAGGTCCAGCCTGCAAAAAATAACAAACCATGAAGTAATTGTTGAAATGAAAACAGGGCTTGAAATTAATGTCAAATGATGCTGTTAACAATCCCAAATTTCTGTTAATGACAGAATATGAGTTTAGGATGGCTTGTTAGGTATTTAGGGAGACAATACAAAGATACAAAATTTTATTTATAAAATATTTATTATACTTATTCTAAGAGCAACTAATTTAAAAAAAAAAAATAAAATAAAATTAAAAAAAAACTCAGTAGTAACAAGCTTTTTTTTTTTCATAAATGAAAATTTTTGCTGCTCATGACTTCTCCTAGAGCTGTCACACACAGAAACCATGTTGGCAGTGTCTCTTGAAGCCAGGAACCACATTGGGATTCTGGAAGAATCTCATCTGCCATAGTGAGGAGTCGATTCAGTATTATTCGCACAAAGATCTAGCCAGCAATGCTTAGGAAGGAGATCCCACAATAGTTTCTGCAGAGTGACCAGTCTACTTTTTTGAAGATCACAATTTAGCATTTTCATTGGCCTCAAATTGAAGACCCAGCTAATGCTCCTGATACAGAAAATTTGGAAAGATGAAACAGTCCCTGAGGACTTTAAACTGTATTTTTCAAATCAGATTGATTAAACTTTAAATCAGCTAATCTTTCTCTTTTTCAGAAAAGTATATTTTATTTTTGAAAGCTTAGTTTTAAAAGATTTAAAACTTTATAAACTATTCTAATTAAAATTTTTCAAAAATGAAAATTCCTGTAAAAATTTATTATTCATCCTCTCCAAATTTTTTTCTCGAGACAATAGTGTCCATAATGTATCTTATTCATAAGAGCAATTAGAGGCTTTTCCTAATTAAATAATTTTTATTTTACCATTCAGAGTAGAGTTTGGGGCATTTTCTTTTTTCATGTATATTCATGTTTTAGCAATTTTGTTTTTGTTAAAAACACTTCAATGAAACATTAAGAACCAACACTTATTTGTTATGTTCCTGATTAACATAAACTGAATTAAAAATACAAGGGAGAATTGAAAAACTGAAAAGCATGAAAAATTTAGTCATTACAAAAGACAAGTAATTATAATAAAGCTGGATGATTTGTAATCCTGTGGAATCAAAATGTTAGATGAGATGTTTTTTGTTTTTTAAATAGTTGTTTAAATCATGAAAAACTGAAAAAAATTGTTTGGGCTATCTGGTGTGTATTTAAAAATATATCATTATCAAGTAACATAGAAATTCCTTTGATAAGAAGGGTTGGACGAACACCTACAGTAATTGGACCAATTATCAGGTCTGATTTTAAGTAAATGCAATAGAGAGGGACATTGATGATACCTAGTTCAATACCCTGTATTAACACTGAATTACTGTTAAGTCTCGAGATAATAGTAACACATCTTCCAACAACAAAGTTGGAAAAGCAACAGTATTTCGTAATATCTGAATAGGCTGTTTAAAGCCAGTATTGTCGATAAAGAAAGATCCCTTAGACAAAAAGGGCTTATAACTCTCCCATAAAAGGGAGTTTTGTTTAAGATCATGTTTAACAAGAGTTTTAGGAATGAAGAAGGCCTTTTTAGTAATTTGTTTATTAATAAAAGCATGGGGAAAGAGAGAGCTATCAGTTTCATGTTTTTTTTGGGTTTTTTTAAGTTTAAAACAATCAGACATAATGTGATTATTTTTATTACAATACACACATGTAATTTGACAATCTTTTTCAAGAGACTTATGAAAACGGCCAGTTCTTTGACTGGACGGAAGTCCTAAACAAGGTTTAGTTTGTGGGAGAGAAGTAGGATGGAATGCTGACCGGTCCATTGTTTTTTTTTTAAGTTTTTTTTTTAAATAATTTTAACTTGCTCTAATACTACCCATACTGTGAAATTTCTTTGTGTGCATTAATGTATTAGAGTCGAAATGACTGCTGTTTTGTTGACTTTTTTTATATCTTTGTCACTGAGATGAGTTATTAAATCAGGAGTTAAACATTGCTAAAAATCCTTGATAAGAATTAACTGATGCAATTTATCAAAATCATTGTTAATGTTTTTAGTCCTTAATCATTGATCAAAAAGATCTTTTTCTCTCACCAATTCTACAAAGGTTTGATTAGAGAATTTTTTAAATTTTCTAAATTTCTGCCTATAAGCTTCTGGCACTAGCTCGTAGCATTTAATATAGCAGTTTTAATCTTACTATAATCTGATGAGTCTTTAATGCTAAGAGATGAGTATACTTTAGCTGCTCTATCCATTAAAAGACTAAATAAGGTTGGCCAGTTTAGATATTCTACTATTTTTTCAAATTGTAAGAAATATTTATCTACCAATTTCTCAGAAAATTTAGGAACTGGTCTAATTTTTTTTTTTAGCTACAATGTTTTTTATTTCCACATTTTTCATCAATGCATTTGCATGTAAATTAAAATGTGTAGCAAATTGTAGCAATTTATATTTTGTTAAAGATTCAAATGCATCAACCATATTAGTCAAAGACAAAAATTCTTTGATGAAAAAAATATATACAATCTTTTTCTAACAAGGTACAATAGCAAGTTTTTAAAATATCAAACTATCACGTACATTATTGTATTTAAGTAGTAAAACAATTGTTAAACATACTTGGGTGTTTTTTTGTTTTTTTTTTTTTTGTTTTAGTTAGGATGAGCCCTCATTTTGTCATGATGTGACAAAAGTAACAAAAAGAAACAATGCAAAATAAAACAAATGCTAAAAGTTAATTTTCATTTAATTTATTTAGGTTACCCTAAAACTGGTAGTCATAAAAAAGGAAGTCAGGTCTAGGGCAATTTTGATTAAAACTTTTTGATATTGATTGAATGAATGCAAAATAAAAAAAAGGGATAGATTAATGTAGAAGATAATGAATAACATGTTTACCGGTGAATATGTTTCTTCCGTGAATCTCAAAAATCAAGCATCCTCACTGTAGTGTTTGCTCTTCAAACACTTAAGGCATATATTTTGGGAGGGGAAGCTTTCTACATGTGTGTGTGTGTGTGTGGATGGGCCATTAAGGATAAAGAGATGTGTGGTTGGGTCAATAAGGGTAAAAAGGGCGACCTATTTATAACACAATTAAGTTCAAACTCTATGACAAATGGGATATCACAGTGAGCACTAGCCTGCTTATAACTTAAATAGCTGATGAGGTCATACTTCGTTATAATGTCAGATCATACTTCTTTAATGTCAAATGTTCAATTACCATATATCATCATCAGTAGTTTTGTAGCTAACAGATTCACCACCAATTCCTCCAATTCTGTATTTCATCAAAAGATTTACCTTTTTTTTTCTAACTTTTACTATGAAGGCAGATGCAAATTCAAAGTAAAATTTTATTCTTATGTGTATTGAAGGCTTGTTGGATAAGAAAGCAATAGGCTTTTATTCCCTCATCAAGGAATTGTAAGCAGTCCATGTTGGAACTTGGGTTACTAAATTGCTGCACAAGTATTTCAAAATAAACCAAACTATGGTACAAGGTAGGATATGAGGTTGTAAAGTGTATATTAAAATGGCTTAATGCCAATAAATCACTTTTGGTCTACATTATAAATTGTTTTTTGTTTATCTTTATGAAAGAAAATAGCATCTAGAACAAATAAAATAACATATAGTGAAATAAAATAAAAAACTGCTTATTTTGGAGTGACACAAGCTATTGAAATTCAAGTTTTCCAAAAATTTATTATGAACAATTTACAGACAAGACTAAATTTTTGGCCTGTAAAATATAAATTTTTGTCAAAATACATATAAAAATATAGAAACATTAACTTCTGCAAGTCTTGAATCTTTCTTGACAATTTCATATTATAAAATAAGGTCCAAGTGTTTTTATTTGATAATTATTGTGAAGAAATATGCACCTATTTTTACCTTCAAGTCACCATTTTGTTCTGGTTTGTAAAATACAAACATTGAGACTAAAAAGATTGGAGACATATTTCTCTTATGCTAAATAACAAATTCAAAAAAGTAGATGACTTGAATCTACAAGACTCGATATCACAACAATTCAGGCCACACTATAAATGAAAATTTTTTGATAAAGACTTTAAAAAACTTTTTGATTGTGAATAGTTTAAATGCACTAATATTTTTATATAGAAACTGAATGAATAGAGCACAATTCTTAAAGTGTAATGAAAGTTACTCTGAGCATGAAAATTAACATTTCCAATTCAAAGTGATTTAGCCAAAATGTTTATATAAAAGAAACTTATTTTCATAAAAATTACAGTAAAATTAAACTAATTTATTTTTTAAACTTTAATATTTTTAGCTTTTTTTTTTTTTTTTAATTATTTCCTAAAATTTTTAATGCAGTTAAAAATTTTATTTCAGTTTTACTTTTTTTTTCCAGGATGGTTCCAAGATGATTGTATAAAAAGTTAGTTTGAAGCCCTGATTGAATAGTTATACAAAAGTAACTAAGTTAACAAAATATCCTTATTACATTTTATTAAATTGAAGATATAGAAAAATACTTAATCTATTTGAAATCAAATATGTAAGTCTAAACAAAAGTTTGCAGTGCTTTTTAAGAGAATTTTAAAGACAATATTTGTCCATAGATTTATTCAACCACATGTGTCATTTTGTTTTACTTTACATCATCTTTAAGGCAACTTCACGATTCCATCCTCCTAAAACTTGGCATCTTTCTGGTCTTAGTGGTTTTTACAAGCTTCAAGAAAATTGAAGCTATCCCATGGCATACTATACTCCAAGCCTGCTCATGGTGCAACCGAGAGCCAGAAATGGAGTCCTATTGAAAAATGTTTGATCTTCAGAAATTTTGGAAGAAAATTAAGTTAACTATTTTTGAAAGTACTTAGAATAACATTTTGACCCATATCTGAGGATAATAGGATGTGCTGAAAGTTAAATAAAAGAAAATATGCATTTTTGTACCCACCATACTCACCTGATCATGCACCTTCTGATTGCCATTTATTCAATCTCTACAAAACTTTCTTAATGGGGATAGATCATGGTGTTCTATATTAGAACATTAAATGTCAATATTGAAAAAATATAGTTGTGATTAAGAGTATAATTTGGCTTGAAAAGTTACCCCTAAATTGAAGTAGTAAAAGAAATAATTCAGATTCCAGCAATTCCCCAGACGTGTTGTCATTGCTTGCAAAACAAAATACAGGAGTCAGCAAGACAAAATTGTTTGTGAAATGTATAAAATATCAGTTTATCTTTTTCCAAAAGACAAAGATGAGAAAGAGCAATGGAGAAAATCAGTTCCAAATGCCAATCTCAATGTTACAAACAATACAGTTATTTGTCAACTACATTGGTCTTCAAATTTTGATACCATAGAAGTTCATGTAAAAATGCACCCCAAAAATCCACCAACACTCTCTGCTGTTCAAAGGTATATAAAAAAAATCCCTCAAATATTGCTTGAAACCAAATTGATGAAATGAATGCCTTTTTAGAATTAGATTAGATTAATTATACAAATTTGAAAGAAAGTCTAATCAATAACAAAAAAGACTGTGTATGCATTTTGGGCTGAATATATTTTAATTGTTCATTCATCAAAAGTTATCCCTCTCTTTATGCTGAGAATTTATATAAAAAAAATTGTGGTTTGAAACCGTCATTATAGAGTTAAGTGTTAGATAAGTAGCCTGTCCAAAAACCATATAAATACAGTCGATACTTGGTCAGCATTGGAAGAAGTTATCCGATATTTAAATTCTATGGTTTTTGATCAGAAGAACGATATCTTGAGCCAGCAATGGCCCCCAAAATGATTGGGATGAAATATGGCACAGATATAGTAATATGTGCTTTTGAGTACTATACAAAATGGTGGTCATTGTATAATAGATTAAGAAAGGATTTTTAATTACAATCATTAACAACATTAAGGATGACATCAAAAGTTTCAAAACTTAATGAAAAATCTTTTTTTGCTATATTTAATAATCTTAATGCCAATCAGAAAGGGTGCATAATTCTCCATGATGAAGTATATATTACTATATCATGGCAAACAACTATTTAGTAAGTCAGTTGACAATGTATCTCTACTTGCTCTAACAGCACTTGGTATAATATCGATATGTATTAATGTGGGTCCAAAATTTCTTGGAAGAAGATAATTCAAAAACTAACATCTGCCTTTTTATTTGAACAAATTAAGTTAACAGTTCAGGCCATCACCTTTGTACCAGCTCATATAAAGGCAACAGAATAAATCAAGCTTTTTTTTTTTTCACTCCCTGAATGTTATGATGTTAATTTGGGGTTAATAAAGACAAACGCCAAATAACATGTAACAATAAAATGGGGTTTATTCGGTTGGTAAGTTGGTACAGAAATCGCCTGAGTAGTCTATAACTAACTCAGCCCAGAACTTCTCCGACACTGTCTCTTGACATGCCACTATTTAACGTCCTTGTTTGTAGACGAGTTCATCTTCAAGAGGGGTGGTAGGTTCCTACACAACATTGAAAAACCTTACTTAACTGAAGATATCTTAAACGGTTATATTGTTTTGAAGTTGAAAGACAAGTTAAACTTTCAGATTTAAATGAAATTTCCATTTCTTTGGAAAGACAACAGGTTTCTACTTGCCTCAGAGTGTTTTCAGAAAAAACATAATGCACTTCACTCAGTCTGAAATAGGCGCAGATAAGAACGATGCTGTCATCTTCATAAACAAGGTTTTGATATGGTGGAAAATTTGAAATGTTAAGACTCTTCAAATTGATAACCTATATAATGACCCTCTACAAACTGAAATCAGATCTCTAAATGATAGCTGACTTGATTTTATCATTGAGTTTGGTCAAATGGCATTTAATTATCCAAATACCTTGCTACTACCATAAACCATACTTGCAATGGAATTGTTAGTCTATGTAGACACCTTTTACCTACAACTATAAATATGTCCTACTTTGGCAATTTACAACTGATCCATTAGAAAAAGATTTGGTAAATCTTGTCAAGGATCAGGTGATCTATTTTATAAATGCCCAATAGTGTATTGAAAAGTTGCATATTAAGCGGACATCTTTACTTTTAAATCAGAATGTAAATATCGATGCTTTTGATGTTAAACCAGGTTACATCTTGTGGTTATAAACTTTGTGAAGAAGGTTCAGAAATATTTGGCAATCTGGAAAATTTAGAACCATTTCTTTCTGATGAAATAAAAATGGCTCATGTATACATAGCTGGATATATTACAAGAAATGATAATCAATCCAGTGAATATGAAACCCATTTATATTATAAAAAGTATGGAAAATATACCAATTCAATTGGCCGTGAAAAACTAAAGGTTCCTTCTGACCACACTTGCTAATGGTTATTTTTTGTTTCAGTCTTTTCCATACATTTACCTCTCTTATTTTTTTTAAATACTTATCAGTGTCCACACTAATAAGTATTAAACAAAATAAAAGAGGTAAATGTTGTAATATTTATTACTGGGTCAATTTTTGCCAGATCTGCAAAGTTTGGCATTGTCCTGATGGAAGATGACATCCTTCTGATTGACCAATTCCAGATGCTTTTCATCAATAATGTCTTTAATAATGTAATATGTGGAGTACCTCTCCAATGCCCACGTCATTAGATGGATTATTTTTTCATCACCATTTCTATTTGGTCATCAACAACTGCAGACCAACTGAAATATTCTCAGTCTTCCAGATCAAAATTTCCACTTACAAATCATATGAACAATATTCTCAGCTAAGGCACCATCTCTATAAGTAGCACATAACTTTATTTTCAGTTTATACATCAATTTACTATTCCTTTCCAGAAATAAAGAGCATCAAATGACAAAAATACATCTCATTTTCCCCCCATTTCACATAAAAAACATTTAAAATTCACAATCCACATATGTAAAATTTATAGGAAGATGTTCAAATTTCACCTTTCAGAATACATACATAACTATAAATATCAGTCTTGTGTGAAATAAAATGTGTTCAAATATCACCCTAGTGAAAGTGCTCCAAATTTTTGTTCCATCACAATACATTTTGATAACGTAAATGAAAATAGTAATAATGGAGTAACTTACTGAGGAACTGTAGACTTCATATAATACTGCAAATAAAGTCTGAATGAATGCAGAAGCAAGATCTATGTCTTCTTTGAGGATTTCTTCTCTGGAATCACACTGCTCCACATTTGGATCAGAGGAAGAGGCTGAAAAACAATTTTAGTCAAAATAAAGTTCTGTATAGATCTGCAAGTCCAAATTTTAATCAAAATAAATTTTGATAGCTTATGAAAATTTCTAAAAAAAAAAAAAAAAAAAATAGTTTCAATTAAAAATTTAGCATTAAACTGGAGATACTAAAATGAATTTAAGGGCAAAAAAAAAAAAAAAAAAAACCTCACAAGCAGAATGAAGGCATCCAGCAACCAAAGGATTCACTTTTCTTTGGACAGGTCTTGCAGTTCCAGTATCTTCATTGATTTGCTGCATGGAATTGAAATCAATAGTGTAAGCTCTCCCCATAGTAGACAGACTCACTTCATCTTCTCCAGATTGGTGTGCAGCCTGAAGAGAGTAACAAATTTTTTCTTCTATTTAATAAACAGATTTAATTGTAATACTTAAATAGTTTATAGGCTGACAACATTAAGTATAAACAATATTAAGGAAATATCAAATTATAATAGGAAAAGTATGAAGAGTCAGTCTTCTTAACTAATATGAAAAATGTAAAGAAAAAACTAAATATTAAATTGAAAACAAGAAATAACTATATAAACCCATTGTTAATTTTGGTTAATTTGTTTCAAACACTATTTTCTTGAAAAGATTTTTTACTTGAAACACTTGTCAAGCTTGTTTTCTTTACAAAGCATAATACAAATGATACATCATTTGATGTATAGTGACAGATCACATTTAGAGATGCATTTAGGGATACTGAATATATTCTGAAACATTTATGTAACAGATGTAGAATAAAACTTCAATATTTTTCTTCTTTGCTCTCTCCCATTACTTAATGAAAATATAAAGCAGTCACGGGCAAACTGGCTCATTTGGCTTTCTGAATGGCATGTCTAATTTCATGCGGAAAATAACATTTACTGAAATTTTGTTCATTTTGTTGTCACTTGTTCAATCACATTCTCATACGTAACCACATACATAAACAATGATTAAGTACAATGTTTCTTAAATTTTTAAATTTCCAAAGATAACATTTTCATCATGGTTTAAAATGATTTTAAACAATTTTTACTAAGATCAGATGTCTAAATATATTTTGCTTTAGAAACAGGAAACATTGATATTTTTTTATCTGAAGAAATATAGTTTTTATTTAAAAAAATATGTTTTTGTATTTTCTAGTAGATAAATTAAAAATTAATTACACGAAGTGCCATATGCTAACCACACTGTCAGACGATTATGCAGATGTTCATCTGTAGTGATAATTACTGCAAATATTTTTATTAGTGTGGCCCGCCTTATGATTAGCCTTATCACATGCAGCCCACTGGTCAGGGAAAAAGTTGTCTATGCCTCATATAAAGTGTCAGCATGCATTCCCCATAAGCATATTGTTAAGTATAGGTACCTCCATTAGGTCACGTAAAAAAGCAGTATATCACGATGAAAAAAGGTCCATAAATCAACGAAAATAAAGTTTTGTCTCAATATGTTTATGTTGTTATGAAGAGGAAAGACCAAAGTATTTATTTTTTGAAATTTTTTACTCCTTTCTAGCACGTAGAAAATTTTGGTTAAAAATTTTTTTTTTTTTTACAACAGCACAGTAAGAGAAAAAAAAGGTTTGTTTTATTTTGCACTTTTTCCAAGGAAAACACGTGTTAATTTAGGAAATTCTTGCAAAAATAAAATAATTGTCAGATTTTAATGAAACTTTCACTTATTCAGAAATGAATGAAATTATTTTTTTAAATTTTTTTTTTTTTTTTTTAGAAAATCTTGTTAAGAGATTTTTTTTTTAACATGTTTCCACCCACTTACATATTTTCATGAAATTTCGAGAAATTAAATCTTTAAGCGCAGGATTTGTTTCATTAGTTATAAACAGGAGTCTTTATAGAAAGTAAATCACCAGTTTTTTTTTTTTTTTTGGTAAACTGGTTTCATAGAAAATCTGCTCTGAATTATAAAAAAAATATAAAAAGTATGACATTAATTAATTAGAAAAGTTTTCACCTGCTTTTGTAAATACGTTATATTAAGGACATTATTTTGTGAAGAAATAAAACTTTTTCGATGAATAATGTATTTTTTACAAATTTTTTTCCAATTTTTTAATTTTTTTCATTAACTTCTTAATACTTCAGAAATCGTTTAAAATTCTTTATTGCTTTTAAGCACGTAATGCAATGATAACGTTTATGAAAAAGTAAATTTACGAATTGAAATTTGAAAAGCACATAAGTCATTTGTACCCAAATATTTTAAAAATAATTTAAAAAAAAAAAAAAAAAAATTTATTGAAAAAAAAAAAAAAAAAAAAAACGTTCATAATTTCTACATATCGAAATGTATACATGACATAATCCTTAAAAAATTTTAAACAATTATCTAATTAAAGTATGAAATAAAAAATAGATATTACATTCCGTGTCAAATCAACAAGGGGTTAGACCATGTCCAACACGGATTTTCTTCAAATTTGCTAAACTTATAGATCTCCATGAAAGGAATTGAATGGCACCTGTTACACATCTCAAGATCAAGGGGTTCCTGAGATATGACCTTTGAACTTTTTACGAAAATGTGAATAATGACCAACTTTGAGAGATGATATCTCAGTTGTTTATGGGCCTACAAAGTTCATTCATATATCATTCTAAAGTACTTGGATAGATCTACAATTTTATCTGGGGATTTTTTTTTTTATAGAGGTTAAATAAAAATAAAAGTTGACCTTTGATCTGACTTATCTCAAAAAAACGTTCTTTTAATTTTTTTAAAATTTTGACAGTATATATTCCAAATTTCATGATGGGCATTCCACTAGAACTGTTGTTACAAGCGTTTTATAGGACTGGGCAAAATTCAGAATTTTTATTGAAAAAACGTTCATAATTTCTATGTATGGAAATGTATACATGACAATCCTTAAAAAACTTTAAACAATTATCTAATTAAGAAAGCATGAAATAAAAAAAAAATAGATATTACATAATTGCTGAATAAAAATGTTAATATTTAAAAAGTACTAGTTAAAAACAAAAAAACGCATTTGCTTAATTTGCAAAAATTGTCAATTTTGATCATCCATAGTAATCTGTCATCACCTCATCACAATCGATTTCTTTGATAAATTCAGACACGTCGTTAAGAAATGTTTGGATACAAATTTTTATGCTATAAGTACTGTTTTAACTTTAAATTTTCTAATTTTACTCAAATAACGTGTCAAAAATATATAAATTTATTTTAGGAAGAAGTTTAAAGTCAAAATTTTGTTTTTATTTACAAATTTCTTAAAATTTAAGAAAATAGCCGCTTTAAGAAAATTAAACAAAAATCAAGCATATATTTGACATTCCAATCTATATAATTCCTATCTGAAAGACACCAGAATATGTTACTTACTGTAAGTAATAAATTTAATGCTTTAGCTTTCAATTAATAACATTGAGACAAAACTTTGTTTGCGTTGATTTATGAGTCTTTTTTCATCGTGATATACTGCTTTTTTACGTGACCTAATGGCGGTACCTAGTTAAGTATCACCAAATGAAATTCATTTGTGACAAAATAATAATCTTCCAAAACTCTGACATTGGATTAATTATGTTTAGTTAAATTTAAACATTTGAAATTATATACAATGCATCACCAAATGAAATTCATTTTTTAACATTCATGTTTAATAAGCAGATGTTAAAGAAACACTATGACAGAGATACAGAAGTCCTTTATCAGAAGTAACAAAAAGATGTAGGCAGATAGCAATTGCAATATAGAACACATAATATCCTCCAGTATTTTTGAAATACTTTAATAAACAATATTCACATTAAAATTTTTTTTACTATACATTTTATAATCCTTTTCCTGTCTAATATGCAATTGTTGTATGTAAATAATATTGTATTTTATGAGTGCATCCTATATACTACCTGAAATTAACATTTTAAATAGAATTATTCCATCAAAGGTTGTATTGTTTGAAAAATTTTACAATTTTAATTGTATTAAAATAAGTTTGGTAATTATCTTAATATAAAATTAGGTATCCCAAACTGGCCTACTTTACAGTGCAAAAATGGGTCAAAATAGGGAAATTTCCTTCAAGTTCAACTGGAAATATTTTAAAACTTATTTTGATAAAATTAGTATGTAAAGAAAATTTAATAATCAGTTGGTTTCATATCAGTATGTACAACCAACTTGAAATACAGACAAATATAAAACATGTTTTTTTAAAATTTGAATTCACTGGCTGCCCTGAACATCCGATTTAAAAACTCTGGAGCTTGTTTCATCAATGGACAGTTTCTAGGTGAGTTTAAATTTTTTCTTATATTTCTTATGTTTATTCTAAAGTTGTATAAAGTAAATTACTTATTGTGCAAGTAAATAGGCATTAAAAATAAATGTGACACTGAGCTGTCAGCCTGTGGTCAATCCCCAGTCACGGCGTGAAACTGTGCTATTTCTCCTACCGGCATTTTGAGGTTGACTCTTAGTCACTGACACCAGCCTGTGTCCAGGTCAATCGGTAGTCATCACTACCCAGCGGAATCCTTTGGTCAGGGTACCAAGTGGGATGGTCAGTTGATGCTAACGGCTTCACACCAGCTACATCATTCCCAGTTCACTTCAAATATCTGGTTACCGAAGTAATTACTTCGATCTCAAGTCTAACCTACCCACGTGATTTTGATCCTAGGTAGACAAGATCAATCAGATATAGTGTAAGATGAGTCTAACTGGAGGTGATATCGCACAAGCGTAAATAAAAACCGAAGAGGTTCAATTATGTTGAAAGTAACAAATTAACTTTTATTCATCTGTTATATACAGGAGTGCATGTTTTTCTCCCAAACCATTTTATATGGAGTGTGACACTTATGCTTCTTGGGCAAGTTCTGGTCTTCTAAGTCAACTGGTTTAGTTTTTAAGTGCTCGTTTGGTTTGGTTTTACAGCATATCAACCACAATGGGTTACTTAATGCCGACAAAATTTTTATTGTTGATAATATTTTTTAAAAACCTATTTCTGGTAATATTTTTCCTTCAAAAATTCTATTTCTGGTAATAATTTTTTAAGGTTTTGTATCTTGATTATGTATTACGAATTATGAATTTTTAAATGTCCAATTTTTTTTTTTTTTATATATGGGTGAAGTTTCCATCATTTCTATGTACTACAGACTATTAGCATTTTGTTTCTTATGTTTTGTTCTTTGAACTTCTTTTGTTTCTACTTTCTTGTTTGACTTTGCTCCCTTAGTTTTACCATTTGGTTCTTTTAATGATAATCTTTCCTTGTTTGTTCCTCTATGTCCATTTTCCTTGGTTCTTCAATAACCGTTTCGTTATTTTTTTTTTTTTTTGTATCTTTTCATTCTCTTCAGAATGTTTCGATGTTTCTATTTCTTGGATTTTGTTTGGATTTTTTTCAGGTGTAATAGTTTTGTAGTTGTAGAGTCATTTTTGTTTGTGGTTGGCAGTATAGGGTTTGTTTTTCCATTAGGTTCTTTTAATGATCTTTGTATAGATGATGACCATTCCCTTGTTTGTGTAGCACCTGTGGTTGTGTAGCACCTGTGAACAACAGCAACTAAGAGGCGGTTCCACACTCCTCAAAACCTGATCAGAGGCCTTGCTGCTGGATGCAGTTTATTGTCATACCCTAGGAAACTTTTCGTCAGTATAAATTGCTGTTGGTAGGACGGGCGAAGTCAGAGGTTGTGAAATGTCTCGGTCAGCTTCAGCAAGGCAATGCTCAGGTTACTGCCAATCGAATTGCAGCTCCAAAGGCTCTAACTTCAACTGTCTGCTACTCTCTGAGGGCGTTCATTTATATGGACACTGACCAAAAACCGGTGTGGGGTTAGACACAGTCTGGGGTTTTCGGTAAATCCCGAAACCTCTGTTGTCTGACCAGGAAAATTGATTACTTCCCATTTTGGAAAATTAATCACTTTCGATTTTGGGGGATCCCTTCATCCGTGATGAGAGGTTGTAGGAGAGCTATCCTCCCAAACTCTCCCTTTCTTACATTGATACCTCATACCAAATCCTTCCAGTGGATGTCAATTTTCCCCTCAAATTACCTCCGCCTATCACCATTGCTACCACTCAACCAATGGCGTCCCAGTCGTGCAGGCATGGCTAAGCTGGCTACATTAAAATTATAACCTAGAATTTTTTGTTTACAAAATTCTCTTTCCCAATGGCCAAAACTCTTATGAATCACACATGGCCACTTAAAATCTCTCATATCTTTTGGTCACTTTGCGTCTTTTTAACCAGCACTTTTTACAAACACCATCAATCAATTGTCAAAGTCTGCTATCTGGCCCCTTCATGAAGTTAGCATCTACAGGAACCCTTGGCTTCAAAAAAAAAAAAAAAAAAAAAAAAAAAAAAAAAAAAAGACTTCTGAAAAATAAACAAGGGTAATTCTCTGTACCCCGTATCAACATTATTTTCTCATACCAAAACTTATAATTATCATATGGGCTGGGCTTGCCGGCACTTAAGATGATATCTTGTTCTCAGGTTTTTCATTAATCAGTACTTTTACAAATATCATTAATCAATTATCAAAAGCTTGCATATGACCTTTTCTGTTCTCGGTATTTTCTTGTGTAATTTTTTATGGTTAATTAGTTAATTAATTACCATAGCTAAATAGTGTCACAATAAACTACAAATACATACTTTAATTAAACTTTACACACTTACATTTGTCCATATGAAGAAAAAAAAAAAAAAAAAAAAGGAGTGAAACTTTGTATATGTAAAATAATGCTTTTAAATGATATGGTAGTAATACCCAGTAATCTGACTGCTGTTCTGGTGAGGTCTCATCTATTTTATAGCCTAACTTCTGCAACTTTTATGGTTCCATGAGGGAAGCCCTTAAATAGGCAAAGAGCTCACAGGTTTAGAAGACAATTCTTTTTGCAAAATCTGTTAAGGAGCACTCTTTTTTTATTTCTTTTGTGATACAAGAATTGTACGTTTTACTTGCAGGTTCTTCCAAGGTGCTGCAAACTATCCTAATACAAGGATGAAACAATCAAGATTGATGAAGCAAGTTCAACAAACATTTAACACAGCCAAGAAAATTTTAACCAATAAAAGGAGAAGAGGACATAAAGAGCATTTTTAGATTCTTCTCATGCTTTTTTGTAGTTGATGAATTCCTTGCCATTGTAAATTACATCACAGGAACTTAAAGACCTCATGACTAACTCTTGTTACTGTGCTGAAGAACCATCTCAATTGATCTTCAGATAGGAAAAATAAGGCCAATAGATTGCTGTATACTATGATTTCAGTTTCTACATTGGCCAAGTCATTGATATTACATCGCCAACCAGTACAATAATCAAGTTTCTAGCTCCAACTAAGGGTAGAAACAATCATTTCCGATGGCCTTTGGTGTGTGACATTGCACAGGTCAAGTCAACTTTTGTCTTAATATAGGACATAGTGGTAATGCTAGTTTCAAGTGATGGAATGTTCCAGAAATATTGAATGTAGAAGCATATAAAGAAATTCAGACTGCAAATCACCATTAGGAGAGGAAGTGCAGTAGGACCATTCAAACTGCCTAGAAAGTCTTTCTCATCAGTTCCAATAAATGTAGTTTTAATCATTTCAATTGTGTTCTTTATTTTTTTAATTTAAAAATTGAGTTTTAAGGCTTTACAATAAGTATTTATTTCAAAATTTGACCACTGATTCCTTTTGTATAACAAGTTTCAAAGTTTTGATGTTGTCAGTCCTTTTTGGGAAAGACAATTTACAAAAAAATCAAATATATTTATGAGAAAAAGTTTTATTATAGACAAAATAACTGTTTTGTTGAATCCTCATCACAAAATGAGTAAAGTTTCAAGCTTACAACCTCCACCAGATACATTTTTTTCAGCAAGTTCGAGAAATATCTTTTGCCCTATTTTCAAATTTTGCATCCGCTTGTACTTACATGATGAAATAAGAATTATTTTACTGATGTATTCCCATGAAAAAAAAATTAGCTTAATCTCTAACATACTATGAAACATTAAGTTTCAATGATTTAACTGTAGAATTGAAATTTATATGAATGGTCAAAGTTGCCTTCTGGTGTTTAATTCCATTTCTTTTATTACTTAAAGACATTGCATTTATAATGAATTTTCACTTGTTTAAAGCCTACATCTTCACATATACACTATCAAAATGGGCTTCTGGCCCAATCACACTCAAAACGGAAAATCTGACAAACTTTGAATGGTTATAAATCAGTTGCTAATTGAGCTTGCAAGATAAATTTGGTAGCATTTTTGTTTTGTCACGCTATATATATATCTACATGAAAAGCTTTTAGATATATTGAAGAAAAAATAGTTTGGAATACCTAATAAATTCACTATATATCATTTTCAAAAAAAATTACTTAAATTCTACTCTTCTACCATATTTTATTAATAATTAACTATTAAATAAAACAAGTGATTTAAGTTCTGTGATTCAAATGATCATTAAATTAGCTAATAAAAAAATTAAGGAAAAAGACTGAAATATAAAAAAAATTAGATTTTTATCAATATGATTTAGTATAAAACCAACAAAAAGAATTCAAAATAATTCAGAAAAAAGAAAATTTTAATCTCACCTCAATTATTCTACTGTCAATCAAAGCATAAGGATGCCACATACCACGATCATCCCTCCATTGCCAAATAACTGCATCCCCACTCACTGAAGAACCTTTCCTCAACATAGAATCAATAGAAAATATTCCATCTGAAGGTAATTTAGGCATTAATTCTCTAAAAAAAGAAAAGAATTTGTTAAAATATAAACTTCAAATAAATTGCTAAAGTTATTTTAAATTCTGGAAAATAAAATGTATTAATTATACATATCTTTTTGCATATTTCCTCTATCTCAAAACATTTGAACTGAAATACAAGTTTTATCAATCTTTTTATGCTTATCATTTCAAAGGAATAGAAGACTAGATAGAGGGAAACAAAGAAGAGGTTTATTAAATACTCATATATATATATATATATAGAATGGAAAAAAGTCTAATACTACTCAAATCCTACTCTAATGTGGCTACTTGCCATATTTATAAGCAGGAGTGTCTATTGTCACAGTAGTAGGGAAGAGCAGGAAGTACAGAGTCCTACTCTACAACAAAATCAAAAAAAAAAAAAAAATGCAAAAAAGAAATAGGTGTACATGTGTTGATTAGGAAAATAAAGACCAATTTAAATGGAGTTAACATAATGTTAAATTTGATACAATGGATAGAGATCAAGTGACTATGAAACGAAGGGATTCATTTCCAGGTTAAATGAAAGGCCTCATATCCAAATAAAGAGATTCTTATTGTCGTCATAGAAAGTGCTAAATAAAATTTTCTCAGTTCTCAAAATCAGTCTAAAAAATTAAAATAAATAAAAATAAAGAAAATGTAAGGCAAGTTTGAATTCTTTACAGGGGCAAAAAATTTTGTTCTGTTTTGAACAGTTAAAATCCATTAATTATATATCAATATTTCAGAAGGATTATACAAAAGATCAGTCACAGATAGAACCGAGAGATTGTAAAGTGACAACAATTGTCAGGAGCAGGAACCTAAAGTAATTCCTGCCAAAGAAAATAATTAAAACACCCAGCAATGTAAGTTGACAACAAAAAAAGCTGTGTGTCAAAAAGGGAGGGTTGGAAGAGACAGAAGATTTGATTTTGTCTAGAATTCTAATATAAACAATATACTCAAAACAAAGTTATGGTGCTGTGAAAACCAAGTTACAACTCTGTAGAAGTCACACTAGTGCTCTCAAAGGTGGAGACATTCTAAAAAATTTGACATAAAACAATCCATTTTCATAAATATATCAACAAGCCATATATTGACCAAGGTGCAAGCAAAATAAATCATAATAGTGAATCAAATCTGAATTTTTTGTCTCTTCTATGACAATCAGCTTCAGATGTTATAATTAGCAAACCGTTTTACTACCGAGATGATTACTTTGGCTAAACTTTGCACCCATCTTGAATTTTCTTCAATTTTCATTATTTTCTAAAATTTGATAAACAAAATATCAATAAGTCTTGCAAATATGTTAGGTATTTATGTTCGTTTTCCAAATATTTTTATATCCTTGTGGCTACAAATATTTAATAACAGTTTAGTTTATTGTAATGTTTACATAGAATGTTGATCAAGGTAAAATATATTTAGTAAAAAATCTTTCACCTTTTTGTTTCAATAATTCACATACTACAAAAAGAAAATTTTGTTTATATGTATCTGATAGAATTACAGTGTTTTTTACATGTATCTTTTTTTTCTTCATAAATTATACTCCCCTTTAATAAAAATGGAAAAAGTTAAATATTTTAATAGATTAAAATCAATGACTGACTGGTCTTTTTTCTAAATGAATATTTTCTCATTTTATATAGAAAAAAAAATCTGCTATAAATGTCAAATGCTGTTTCATAAAGTTATTTCAAAGATTAGATAAATCTACGCTGACAAGTAAAATAAAAAAATAAAAAAAAACTTACCCAATCAAGCATACAATTTCATATAATTCTTGAGGTGTCCTCGAAATCAGCTGAATATAAAAATTAAATCAATTAAATTCTTTACTTATTGCTCCTAAATAATATAAATTTTACAAACTAAACATTCAAATTTAGTATCTCCAAATGTTAAAATGTAACAGAAATAATCAACTTCATATCAGCAATAATTTTGTTCCGAATAATTGTTTTTTTTAAATTCAGCAATATTTTCAATGAAATACTTGAAATGTCTTTATTGGCTTTATCAGTTTTAATATTTGATTAAAACAAATACCATCCAATAAACCTATTGAACATTTTGAAAATTAAATTAAAATCAGGCTATTTCAAACAAGTAAACAGTTTACAGTAATATTTTAAGGATTCTGTATTATTAAGCTTATTCTATAACTTGATTAAGTTTTTAATGAATTTAAAAGTTAATTTTGTAATTTTTTTTTATTAAGATTTACAAAAAAATTAATGTATAAATAAGTAAACTCTCTTACTGGTATCATTTTAAATGTTTAAATGCAATAGTTACTAATGAAAACTTGTCTTACTATGCTTTCTTTCAAACTAACATTTCAGTTTTTGTTATTTCAATATTCTTTAGATGAGTCACAGTCAATATTCAGGGAATTTTGAACAGGACCCTTCATTCTGTTCAGAAGTATATTGTTCACAGTGTATATGCAGGTTTCATGCTAATTTTATGTGCAAAAACTGAATGATAAATGCTATGTAAATATTTAGTTGAATCCAGTCTTATTAAATGAAAATACTATGATGGCTGTCTTTGGAAATATTTCATAAAGTACTATATTTAAAATTTCTTATCAGTAATATACTGAAATTATTTTTTTACAAAAATCCCATTCAAACTATTTTGTTATAATCAAAGCGAGCAACAAATTCTACTTATAATTTTTAAATAAATGTAATAGCCATTTTAAAATTTAAGCAATTTACTCACTTCAATATTTTGTGAAGCTTGATCTGAAGCACCAACCAATAAGTAGCATAACGTTTCTGCTATTTCTGGGGGGAAAAAATAATCCAATTATTAATATAAAAATCCAAATCATTTTTTTTTAAAACACAAAATAGGCGTGGGAGGTTGGGGGGGGGTGTTGAATCTCACTATACAAAGGTGTTTTTTTTGGTTTTTAAAGAGATTAAAAATCATGCATTTTTGCTGACCAGTTGAACTATGCACAAGTTTTTTCTGGAGGGGTTAAAACTCATGCAAAAAATTCAGGAGTCACTATACAGAAAGTTAGCTTATACAAAAATATATATATATATATATATATATATATATATATACACACACACAAAGGAAATTAAACTCACTCTGTTTCAGCAGCACCACTGCCAAGTCAGGACAACTGCCACACATAACAGCTAACATCCGTATTACCATCACAAAAGTCCCAGTATTGATTATAGGAGGACTCACAACCAGCTGCAAAGAAATGTTACACTAATTTTAAGTTGAAATACAAAAACTTACCAGTTAGTCAAGGTTAAACAGTGCAGAGATATTTTTCCTAACAAAGATTTTACCTTATTCTAGAATGCAAGTTTTACTTATTCAGACAAATCTTTTAGATTGTAGATACACATTTATAAACAATACATTTGAAATGAGTGTAACATTTTTCTTATACAAAATAAGACACTGCCAGGTCAGCCTAATTCCCTTGCATATAGTAGGCAACTTGTTTGTTGATAACTGATGTTTTATCTATGCAAAAAACTGGTGCAGTTCACAAAATGTAGATATTAAGGGAAAGTGAGTATTGCACATAAAAAAAAACAAAAAAAACTTTTGTTTCCCTAATACTATTTTCTTAGGGAAACAAGAGTTTTAATTTTTTTGTATATGGAATTACAGTTATAGAAATTTTAAAAATGATGCACTGCTCTAATGAAATTGCATCGAAGATAAAGAGAGAGGTGGTACGTCTATGAACATATAATAGTCAGGATAATTTATTTTACTAAATGATCTATCTTCATCGCAATTTTCAAATTTAACTAATCCACTGAATAACAATTGGTGAGCACTAGATAAAACATTAAGTGCTACAGCTGGTGACTAGGAACCATAAATCTATAAGAGAGAAATACACATACTTGTAAGTGATGGTACCACCATCTTTAACAATCACATAATTTGCTTTGATTGAGTGTAACTAAGATTTGTGGTTGTATTATTTTGGCAATGAGAATCATGACAGTCTTCAAAATACCAGGAAAAGCTTTTTTTATACAGCAAACAGACTAAATTTCACATGAAAGCATTTAAATAAAATTATAGAAGAAAAATTTGAAAAGAAATTAGTAAAATATGCCACAAGCCACCAAAGAAAATATTAACAGTTATAAATGCATGAAATGTTTCTTTAATTAAGATTTCAGTATAATTTCATGGTTATCTGGTATGAATCATGTTTAAGCATTTAAAAATAATAATTGCAGTAAAAATAAGAGTTTACCAATTGCTGGATATTAGTCAAAAGGCCATGAACAGCAATCTCTTTTAGAATTCTTTGATCATGTTGAAAGTTGTCAACAAGACGGGAGAAGCAAAGGCAGCAGCTTTCCACTGATTTCTTATCCTAAAAATATAGGTGTTTAAAAAATCCAAGATAATTATGTTATTAATCTAAATGAAGCAATTATTTCCATTACTATTTATCTCTGCATGTTTATTAATTCAAATAATCTTCATAGTTCACTTATTCTAGAATTAGAGTAAGTTTCAAGGATTAAAATTTTGAAGCTGAGATGGCAGCTGGAATAGTCTAATAGGATTTATTCTGGTGAGAGTAATACAAAAGTTTAAAATTTATCAGAATTTAGAAGGAAACAAAAACTTTAAGGATACAATTTCATAAAAATGAAATTATCTGTAAGCATAATTTCCAGCTTTCATTTTCATGTAAAAATTTACATACTACATGACCCTTGCATTCAAGGAACAAAAAAGAAAATTCAATTGTTTTTCCATAATAAAATACTGAACAGAGCAATGTAATTCATTAAAATTCCAATAAAATAATTTTTAGATATATTTTCAAACATTTATGAATTCTATAAAAATGAAACAAAACAACTACAGTTTATGCCTAAGTGACAAGATTATAATTTACCTGATGATTCAGTCGAGCACTAAGTAATGGCAATGACTCTCTGATATAATGGAATTCTTCTTTTAAAGATTTTGAACAAAGTTAAGCAGTGATCACTGCTGGAAATCTGATTTGATACAAAAAAAGTCCAAGTACATCAGACAGGCAGCTATCCCACCCTAAAGTAAATACAAATAAAAAAAAAAAAAAATAGTTAATTTTATACTGAATTGTATATAAAATTATTTTATTTATGAAACTATTACCATAAAAACCCATGTACAAACTTTTTTATTTTTTGCAAAAAAAATAAAAATAAATTTTTCAAATAAATTACATGAGTAGATCATTTCCAATGTATTTTTTTTTTTTTAAATTTTTCTTGTTGAAAAAAAGACATTTGTACCAGAAGTTGACCCATTTAATGTCAGTATGAGTTTGTACAGAAAAAATAAGGCCTTAAATGGAATGAAATTTACAGTTTTGAATTACAATGAATTACTTTTTTCTGTATAAATTTGCTAAAACATTAAATGGTTAACTACATTTTGAAGTCTGATGTTCATGCTGATAACCACAACCCAGGCGATATTTTACATTCCTTATCGCAATGGAGCACCATTGACATACATAGTGATATGGATATTCTTGACTGGAAGAAATGTAGCGTTATGGATAATCAAAATAAAACTTATTGGTTTTATTCTTGTCAAAAAAAGTATTTTTGAAAATTTAATAAAATCTAATCATGTTGAAATTATGCTGAATATTTTATTTAAATTTAAAATTTAGCCCTGGCCAAATCTGGTTATTCTGAAAATTTTTTTGGTGCAAATTATAATTTTACAATAATTGCAAATTATATGGTTTTAACGGCAATCTTCTTTAGTATTTTGATTTTTCATGTGTATGAATTTCAGTTGCCATGCTGAGGAAAGATTCTTGGAAAGAAAACATAACTCCACTATAAATATTTTGCTTAGTATGATACAAACAAAACAAAAAAAAAAAAAACTTCAATAAATATTGATATGCTATACAATAATTATTAATTTAAGACAATCATTCATTTGAATTTTGCTGCCAATTGGATGTAATCATAAACATTCATTTAACAAATGGATCTGGTGATACTAATACAAAAATGCATGAAAAAAGTTCACATACATTTGAACATAAGCCTGTTCCCTTTTAAAAGAAAAAAATTGTTTAATATTGAAAACAGCATTTATGTAACAGCATGTTAACACTTCCATAAAATAAGTAAATTAAAATGACTTTTTAAATAAGGATAAAATTTCATTTATCTCTTTATCATAATGCAATCACATGTTTAATCAAAATGACATGACTTCAAATAGTTCTTAGTTAATATACCTATCTGAATATAATCAAATACAAAAAATATGTCAAAGAGTTATTTAATATTTCACAATATAAGTTTTACAAGAGATTCTAAAAACCAAATAAAAAGATTTTTAAAAATTACAATATGAAACACTTACATTGACAGCTTGTAAAATAGCTTTACTATGTCTTTGTGACAGCATCTCAAGTGCAGTGAGTGCCTGTTCTGCAACATCCATACACTGAATCACTTGTAACTAAAAAAGAAAACCACTAAAATTATACTTCATTTACTTTTTGTAATAAATAAAATTTCAACAATTTCTTTCACCAAGCAAAAGGATATTTTTTTCAAATGTCTTGAATTTACTGTCTAACATTAAGCAAACCTAACCAAACTATTATTGAACAAATAGAAATTCAATGAGTTTAGAATAAGATGATTTATTTCAAGCTCAAAAATTACTTCATTTTTAAAAAATTAATTTCCAAGTTAAATTTATTGAAAATATTACAAACTAGCAAAATACTTGGCTATAAAGTTCTAGTCAGAATAACAGATACATGTTAACTTGAATATCTAAGAACTGAACATTGTATTTATTATTTGTAATGTATTTTTTTTCCCAAGTGAAAGAAACAAACAAATGGAACAACAATAGTTGGTTTTACATAATTACTAAGTTACCTTTTCTAGAAAGACAGGCACAGCATCAACAACAACAGCTGAAGAACGAGGAAGGGCTTCCAAATGCTATGTCAATTAAGACATCATGATTCATCATAAATGGTCCATCTGCATCAAAATAAAAAGGGAAAATTTTTTTTACAGGAAAGGTAAAGGGTATTTCATTACCCATTACCAACAACTAAAATATAAAAAGCAATGTCCATTATTAGTAACATTTAACAGAGAAATTCAACATGCAAATGTAAAGTTTATTTTGGTTAATAGTTTTTGTGTGACGTATAAGTTTTTAAGATTATTTTCTGAAAATACAAAATTGTAAAGAATTATAATTTATTAATCAATATTATCAAAATTTTTTAATGAAATCATGATGAAAAAGACGCCAAACTTGACGAAAACAAAATTTTATCGTCTAAATGTTTGTTATTATTAAGAGGAAAGGTCAAAGTATTTTTGGGGTATTTTTTCCATTTTTTAATCGTTCCTAGCACGTCCGAAATTTTCGTTAAAAATCTTTTTTTTTTTTGAGTCAGCAAAATTGACCATTTTTTCCAAAAAAAAAAAAAACTGGAAATCTGACTTTGAAATTTTTTTAAATATCAATTATCATTTTTTCAAAACTTATTTTAAGAAAATCAGAAATTATAATGTTTATTTAAAATATTTTGAACCAAACTTAACTTAGCTTTTTTGTGCCAAAAAGATGTAATTTGAAAATAAAACAAAGCAGGTCATAAACTTTCGCGTCTCTTGACATGTGATGAATGATATATTTACGAATTCCATGAGGCTAATTTGTTCTACGGAAGGAGAAAAGTGAAATAATTTACATTTACGTGAACAAATTATTTACCCCGTTATTTTTAAAAAAAACTTTCAGCGGTCTAATTTTTTTTTTTTTTTTTTTGTACTTAGCTTTCACCTTTACGTTTATGATGCTTTATGGGAAATATATTGTAAAGAAATTAAAATAAAACTGTTAAGAGTGACATTAAATTTCATATTTCTTAAGAAAGGTATCTAATTAATTTATAGGTACCTTTCTTATGAAATTTTATCAGAATTGTACATAAAATACTATAATTTTATGTACATTTATTACATTCTACTGTTATTTGTATTTGCATTCATTTTATTATTAATTTTGATATTTCATTTATGGAAAAATGTCGTAACTGAGATTAATATAAAATAAGATCATATAAATTTCATAAGATGATACTGATACTTGTAGGTACCCTTCTCAGTTGAAATTGAAAAATCAAATTAACTTCTCCACACGTGTTTTCAAAAAGTAAAAGGCCTTAACAGCGGAGAACAATGCTTAACTCAAATAACGCAACTTAATTATATTCTGGTTGGTCTTCCGTATTTTATAATTACAGCTCGATTATAAGCACAAAATTACATTTCTTAATTACTGGGGATCTTCTGATTAGTCAAAATGATACAATTTACAACAACGCTAAAAAAAAAGATCTATCTCATAAGGACACTTATGAAAGCCGATGCGGCTTTTAACTAATTTTATAATATTTTAACAACTTAAATGTAAAATCTATTATAATTAATGAAATAACAAATAATTGTATTAAAAATTCATTTTTCATCGAAAAAATTTTTTTTGCTTTCAGAAAATATTGTCCATATTCATAAAAACAACTAAAAGCAAATAAAAGCATTTGAAATTAAATAATATCTTTGTTTTATTGAGTTTTGTATGTTACAATTCAGAGCTGATTTTCAGGTACTGCGTATCCAATTAAAAACAAAAAAAACATGATTTGCATTCCTCAAAGCCCTGTGCTTTTAATTATTAATAATCACTAAAACCGATGCGATCGAATTTCTAGCGTTTTCATAAAATTAGTTATGGGGGGTAATAAATATTTAAAAAATATATTTCTACCATGACTTTCATAAAAAAAACATATTTATAATAATTTCGATCATCTGTGAATAGTTCCTGAAAGTTTCATTAACATCCGATAATTATTTCTATTTTTGCACGATTTTTCAAATTAATGTGTGTCATACCAAAAAAACGTGCTAAAAATTGTCTATGTTATTTACTAGTTCCGCTGATACAAATAGAAAAAGGTTTTTTAATCAAAATTTAGAATGTTCTAAAAAGAAGGAAAATTTTTTTTAAAAATAAAAAAAAAAAAAAAACTTTGGTCTTTCCTCTTAATAATAACATAAGCATTTAGACAATAAAATTTAGTTTTCGGCAAGGTTGGCGTCTTTTTCATCAAGCTATGCTCTTTTTTTTAGCGATTTCGTGGAGGTACCTAATTAAATGTTATATCTATGGGTGAAAGTGGTCGATACAGTAATTTATTTATTTATATATAATTCATGATAGCCTGAATTATTGCAAAAATAGCATGAAACAGACTAACTGTTTTGGTGTTGAAATCAAAAATCGACTTATATAATCTTCGTTTGCAGCTATTTATAAAAGGGATGTTGAAAATTTTTTCCTGATTTTCGTAAATTAACAAAATTCTTTATATTAAAATCTTTAAACACAAAAAAAAAAAATAGTTTTGTAATACGTTTTTTAAAACCGAAACATCATTTATTATTGAACTACAGTATCACTATAATAAATTCATAGTTAAATCATTCTCCCACCACCGTTATTAATTCAAAAACCATTTACAATTTCTACCATTTTACAAAACTTTTAGTATTTATTTTTATATTAAAATTGTCTCCAATCCCTTGCAAAATTACTTCTATCACATCATATGTTCAGTAGATATGTTATTAAATTAAACCCACTATAAAGGACATTAAATATTAAACATCACCATATAAATCAACTAATAAGGATTACAAATTTTACCTGTTAAATATAACATTTTTCAAAATCAAACTTTTAACCAGCTTTAAATATCTACAAATAAACCCCCATTTAAAAAAAAAAAAAAATAAAATAAATAAAATTTTTCCTTATTAATAATTTTTTTCTTAAACCCCACCAGTTATATATAAATAAATGCAAGGAAATATTCAGTAAAAAAAAATAATATGACATTAATACATTCACAAAGACATTTGTTACACTTCCATTCTTTAAATTTAAACATTTCAACATACAAATGCGAAATGTATAGACACAAACCCGTTTACAAAATTTGTCATATCCGATTTTTGCCCACAAATGTTTATATATGTATGAGTAAACGACGGACGAATTTTGTAATATTTGTCTGCATACATCGATGTTTGCGTTAATTTACGATGACATAAGCGACGAATATTAAATTCTACCAATCCATTAATAACACCAATACACGCAATCTATATAAACTAAATTCACCTAAAAATAATCAGTTTGTCTGACGATTTTAAAGCGTAAACTAAAGGGTCACAAACTCACATCTATCCAACCAAATATGTTAGCTTCTTTCTCTATCATTGATTTTAATTTTTTCATAAAAATTTAAAATATACTGACTATATAATATTAAATAATTATACATATAAATAAATATATTTATTTATAACATTTTTTTTTACACACACACACATGTTATATATATAGCATAATATATATATATATATATAAAAATATATACCGGGAGTTGTGGTTTCATTTTATTTTTTTTTTCGAAAAAAATTAAAATTTGACAATAGCTGTAATTTTTGTTGAAATTAAGTAATTGTTGAATTGGTTTTAATCAATGACAAAATCTTTTTAATAGCATTTTTCGGCAATCATTAAAATAAATTAAATTTTAGACCGATGCTTTCATTTCCAGTTGTGTATCAGATGGTTTGAATTTGGATAAATTTTTAAAATTCATTTTTTTGCATCAGATAACCATTGGAAACTTATTTCTTCGGTCAGAAAAAATAAAAACTATATTAAAAATTCCATGATTGGCCACCAAAACAAAAATAATTTTAAAAAAAAAAAAATATTTATAATTTAATTTTTTTATTTAAATTTTATAATGTAAACCAAATTTGAAAAAAACAAGTAAAATAAAATAAATTAATGAAAAAATAATAAATCAAAATTTTGAATCAAATAGGAAAATTAAATAAAATGCAAAATTTTAAAACCTTTACAGTGAGGCAATAAAATAACTAAAAAGTGGAAAAAAAATTTTTTTAGTGGGCACAATTTAAATAACATACAAAAGATGATACCATATTAAGCAGACAATAAAGAGAACTTAATTTTAAAAATTTTAATGAATTAAAATGAAAGGACTATCAAGTTTGAGACAAAATGTATACTTTTACCAAGATAATGGCTAAAAACTCTATTTACGAAATGACGATCTTTCTTAGTATAGATATTTAACAAAATTCATGATTGACATCTCGTGGAATTTTATGCATCTTAATGGTTTCACAGATTGCCGTAAAAATTTCCTCTGTCTTTACACATCAAATACTTTCACGGTAACTGCTCCGATGAGCTGATTAAATTTTTTGCTGGTTCCCATCCTTTCACTATCGAAATGTTAATTTTTCAAAGCAGATCTACAAAACTCCAATATTCTTCATTTATTTGAATACTTCGCTTAAAAGATTAAAATCCCTTTAATTTCTTGTTTCCCTGATAGCTAAAATCTCCAACTATTCAAATGTAATGTCAAAACGTCTCCAGACACCTTGATGAATCCATTTTTTTTTTTCTTTTCATCCTTTCCTCTGAATAGTGAATAAAATTGGAAATTTCAACTTTCAAAATAACCCCTTGAACTAGTGGCTTCCCGTCTTATTTGGGGTGAAATTTTTAAAAAATTTAGGAACTGTTTAAACAGACGTTTAAATGGATATTAACATGGAAAAACAAGTTTGTTTTAAATATGGAATTCTAAAAGATTAAAACTGTTACGTAACAAAGTATGAAGAAACAGGATTATTTTATTAGAAATGTTTTTTAAAAACTGTTATATAATACCAATCTGGAAGTGAATTTTTAAAACAATTCCTTTCACAGATGAGAATGGGACTTAAAAAAACAAATTCTGAGAAAACTATAAATGGAGAATGTGAATAACAAGAATATTTTAAGGATATAAAAAAAAAAAAGGATACTTATAGAATTTTTTAATTATTTAAATTTTAAGAAACACTTTGAAAAAAAAGTATTTGGAGTTTTTAATAACTCACAGGATGAATTGATAAAGTCAAAAAGGGATA